CGGAACAGGCTGCTGGATTTTATGGCGTTATTATCCAAGGGTCGGCACGAGGAGGTTTCAAACAACCACACAGGCCGCAAAGGTTGTAATAACGGGTTGCTGACTGGTTGTCGAGTTGCTGGGAAGAAGACGGACGAAAAATTAAAGGTAAAAAATTCTGTGGGCAAAAATAGGCAGAAAAATGTTGCCAAAACACGCGAGTTTTCGTTGTGTGTGGTGGCGATGGTGATTTGGTGTTGAATGGTGCTGCATGGTGGTGCCACTACTATGCAACACCATGCAACACTACGCTCCCCTCATGTCTCAAACACTGGAAATACAAAAATTTCAGATAAACACGTCCTTGTCCACGTTTGATTATTTTCTCCCTACCCCCCCCCCCCCTCCCCGCCCCATCTTTTTTCTCTCCTTCGTCCAACCCCACGGCTGACCTATTTCCCCCTACTTCCACCTCGGGATTCGCCTCCTCTGTGAGAATTTCGCATCCCGCATCGCACCTCAAGCGAAAACCTCACACCCGAAGCAGAACAGGTTGTTGCAGGTCCTGAGGAGGTCAAAATCTATTGGTATATGGAGTGACCCGAAGTGAATTTTGGATTATTTACTTTTGAAAGAATAGGATAAGATTATTTAAGTTTGTTGGGACCATAGTGTTGAAATTTGCTAGAGAAATTTCCAAATAACGATGGAAACGGCATCCAAATCCAAGTCTACTCAACCTCCTATTTCATCAGCTACTTTAGTGAATTACAAGCTAAACATCAAGTTTTTTCGTTGCTTTTTAGTTAAAATTGAGGGGAAAATCGGATTGCCGAAATATGGGAAATCAGACGCACGAAATTAGCGGGCACAGCTTCAAATTTTTCAAGGAGGAGATGGGTCAAAAATATGTTGTCTAATATTCTGGTTGTAGAACATAATTTCGCAATTTTTCTGTGATATCGATTATCGAAAAATCAAGAAGTCTGACCTATAAGTAAGTTTGTCAAGTATTGAAAAGACCCATTATCGTAAAACTTTCGATGGCCCAAGAATCCAGCAAAAATCGAATTTTTTGCATAGAAAAGATAAAACTTGCTCAATTTGAAGGCTATTCTTTATTTGTGGATCATCGAAATTTGGTAGTTCAGTGGTTTTAACTAATACTCCACACCCATGATTACCCAAGGGTTCACGAACCTTATCCAAAGCCTTAACTCTTCACCGCTCTGTTTGCCCAGTCCTCCACCAGTGTCCTCACCTATACCCAGCTATTTACTCAAGTAGTTGTTACCTACCTTAAATCCTCCCCTTGAATCCTCCCACATACTCAAGGCGCTGGGTTTAAGGGGTCAAACAGACCTCTTGATCGTGTAATTATGAGGTGGCATACAATGCGAAAGCAGCGGGTGGTCGGAAATAGTACGGGGTTCGGGTAGAGGACGGGGGTGAGGAGACGGGGGAGACACAGAAGACATACACACATACATACAACGTCGAAAATTCAAGTTTTCGCTTCGTCCATCGATTCGACGACGAGACAAGAATTACAGAGGGTTACGGTAGTTTAAGAGAGCTGTGCGAAAAAGGTGTGGGATTTCTATATTTGGATTTTTTGAAGAGAAATTGAGCTTAGAAATACATTTTTGCGAAGCGAAGAAGAGAAGAAAATGGGGACGGTTTATAGGAGGGATGATAAACTTCTTGATGAGCACAGTCCGCAACTACGGCTTCCAGCGATAAGCTGAGCAGCACCGCGACGACGAAAACGACTGGAATGAGTGAGAGCGGAGCGCGGTTTGTGTGTGTGTGAGTCTGTGTGTATGTGGGGGGAGAGAAAATGGGCAAATTATCGAGTCCCACCAAATTACGGCCAATCACCTGCTAATAATACGGTAATTTTGTCGATTGCTTTGCGGGTGGCAATTTCGTGTAACGGAATGTGCCGCTCGCTCGGCGCTCGCCGAGCGTCGCCGCGCTCGTTCGCCGCCGTCGGGCCCGTTCTCCCGTGGCTCGACAGCTTCAAAGAATTCGGACCATTTCCCCTCCAACCCCTTCCCCCGCCCCACCCCGTTTCTCCACAACCCAGGAAAAGTGCCAAATTTTTCAGTCATGAGGCGTGCTAGAGACTTAAAGCTTCTCGAATTTGCCGCGCGTAGCCTTTTGCCCACATAATTGCCGGGAGAGCGGAGAAAAAGGAATGATTGGAGAATAAAAACCGCGGCTAAGAAAAACCCACATGAAGGTTTATTCATGGCCTTCGCAAAGCAGTAAAAAGCAAAAACTGCGGCAGTAAACAGGTTACGGTCATTGTTATAGAGACGGAAATAGGAAGTGAAATCTGTAGATAGTAAGGAAGCTTCTCGAATCAGAGTGAACGTTGAATCTTTTTTCCGTAAAAAAAAGTTAATTATTCCCACCACAGTGCGCAGGATTCGCTCTTTCGGAACCTAATAATGGTCCACAAAGCACAAAACCTGCATAAAGTATGATATTTGTCTCATTTCAACAGCGATGCACTTATTATTCAATCAGAAGTTTTCTTTGAGCATTTTCAATATCTCAAAAACCTTCAACTTCAAATACCATTACATACGTCTAAAAACTCAAAAATACTTGTATCAAATTTCAGAAATACGGTACTGGCACTGTACAAGTCAGGCGACCTGAACTTGATGAAACTGATCGGATGCAGAAGAATTTACAAACACTGGCTTAAAATGAAATGAAGCACAATTTTTAGAAAGAAAAATATTACATCTCTATCCTTCGCCTGAAGGCATTATAAATGGTTGAGTGAGTAACCCGACAATTTTGATCCAAATAATTTTAAATTCGAAGACTGAGATAAGGTTGAAGGAGATTGCAAACAGAAATTTTGGCTGTTGGACCCTACTGTCTCAACTTTATTCCTTGAATCAAGATTGATGACAAAAGTGAAAAGTTTTGATTTTCTCCCTACAATCTCGACTTATGTCATAAATTCGCTTCTACGTTGCTAAAAAGAGCTTCAAGGGAACTGTGTAGCGAGATCTCAAATAGCCAGGTATGCTCATAGCTCAAATATTCCCGTAAAGGTCCACGAGTCCGCAAGAATCAATAGGAGCCATAAAAGTTATGATAAATCGCACTCAAAGCCTATTTGCGCTGAATGACTAGATTTACCTAAGAAATGCTCATCAGCTATAGTTACAGTCAGATAAGGATGAATTTTGCGACAAGTAGTCGAAGTCGGTGGGATGCTGGTAGTGGTGGGTGACTTCTGAAGGGCGGCTGTGTGTGGCGGTATTGGGGCTCGCCGGTCAATTATTAGCAACTATCCGCAAATTATGTGTCATTTTGCGAGCAATTTCGTCTGTCTCTCCTCTCGCCGTCGCTCTACTGCTGCTGGCTGCCTAGGCTGCCCGGGCTGCCCGGGCTGCTGGCTGTCGTCGTCGTCGTCATTCAGAGACAGCGCCCGAAGCGCTGCTGTGCTCTGTGTAGAGAGTTTTCAGTCATCTCTAGCGTTTCGTTGGACTTCGTACTATTTCGCGTCGGGACACGCTCTGCGCCGACAATCCAGCCAACACTTCCCGTTCACATTCCATCACATTCGTCATCCATGGAGCGAGGGTAAATCACAGCCGCGCTGCCGCTACTTCGGCTGGAGTTCTGGATTTGGTACGAGGGGCCGAAGCCATGGCTGAGGCTTTAGAATCGAGAAATGGCTGGTGGCGCGAGGGGGGGGGGGGGGAGAGAGAGAAGGAAAAGATATCCTAGCCGAGATATGAAAGACATGCAGGTGCAAGCGTTTCCGTCACAAGCCATGATACCCCCCCCCACCTCGTTCAGCTTTAATTTCCGGATTTTTCGAGATGTGCGCGCAGGTGACCGGACAATCATCAAATCGCTAGGGAAAGTACAAGCGGAGATGAGAATCAGTTTTAGGATAAAGTTGAGGAAATCGAATTCTTTAAAGGGAGGAAGATGAAAAAGGGAAAAATTTTATAAATTGCCGATGATTGTTAGTATCATGGAGTTTAAGTGAAAACGAACGTTACCCTTATAGTACCTAGTAATTAGCTTGACTTTTTTCAATCCTGATTCTCCGTTCGCTTCGATCTCATATTGATTGAGATTGAGAAGATGAAGATTTCGTGGAGAATAGTTAAGATTGAAGAGATTTTGAGAAAACCCTTGGGCTCTCAAGAAATTTCGGGGGACTCTGGCATTTTGCAAGAAATGCATGATAATGGTACTTTCAAGGAGATTTTTCGATTGGGGAGGGAGGCAGTGGGACTGAATACACTCTGTTTTATCGTCACTTACAAAATCTTTCATTTGTCTCATAACCATAAATTGGCAGCAATCATCCAATTTTTGGTCCAAGGAGGTCGAGAGTGTGGAAGGGAGGGGGTGGAATTCCGTTCCAGCAGTAGTTCTGAAAACCTACAAGAATCCCTAGGGGCCATGACTGTAGTTCCCCCTTGCCATACGTCAGGCACGAAAGAACCCTAGAAGCTGCTGACCTCGTCAATTGGCATTCTCCTCCTCCCCCCCCCCCTTTCGGAACCCGCTTAACCGTCGGGACTCGATTCCGGTGCTTTTTCCTCGTGCGCGCCTCTGTGTTGTCTATGTTTTAGGGGCAGAGTTTTGCTAGGTGGCTGCTGTGAAATCGCAGAAGATTGCCGGTGCGACGACGACGAGAGGGGGGGGGGGCCTTACCGCCAATTAGCTGCAATACCAGCCACAGAGAGCAAATTGCTGATTCCAGCGGGTAATTCGCTAACTATGCCCCGACGTGTTATAATCGCCCCCGTGTGACGTGACTCTTAAACCCGAAGGGACCCGTCGGGCCGCTCATTGGGCTCTTGTCTCGGCTAGTGATAGCGATTCCATGTTTAGTGGTATTATGACCATATTCGCAACTGATAACATCCTACCCCGAATGTGGGGCGTGGCTACGGTGTCGCCACACAGCCGTGGGGCGTGGTTTGGCCTGGGGCCACGGCCGAGCGCGGGCCAATAGTAGCGCGCCGCCTCCGCTCCGCACATAGACTCCGAACCATTCGAAGACTACCACCACTAGCCAGAACCCCCGCTCGACCATCTCCCCGTCTCTCTTGTTCGTGTGTGTCGCCACTGTCGTCGTCGTCCAGTGCCAGAACCCTGAGAAGCTAGCCTGTGCCCTGGACAACTGTTCCTGAAATTCCACAAATGGACATGGATCAGAAGCCATTTGTCGACTATGGCAGCTATTGCTATCCCACTGCTGCCACAGCGCAGGATTTTACTGCTAGATCCCAAGTTTCACCATATTTCTATAATTTCTCAACTTCAACCGCCTCGTCAATGTATTCTCAACAGCCGACGCATTTCATGTATCCACAAGCGGCAGCAAGTTCACCGGAAGGTGAGATTTATTACCATAATTAGCGGAAATGGTAATTGGTTTTGGAGGCGGAGAGAGTGCTTAGTGTAATTGCAGATATTTATCGTAAATTTGCAGACCAAATGACGACGAAAATTATCGAAGGTGGCGAAGTGAAAATTAACGGCAAGGGAAAGAAAGTGAGAAAACCGAGGACGATATATTCTAGTCAGCAGTTACAAACGCTTCAGAAACGGTAAGTATTTTTGTGAGGGGGTCTCAATTAAAATATTCTGCCTACTGTGAATTTTCTGATGATAGTTTACTGTATTTAGATTTACCAAAACGCAATATTTGGCGCTTCCGGATCGGGCATCCTTAGCCGCCGAGCTTGGCCTTACCCAAACCCAGGTAAGACAACTTACCGTATACTTTTACCACTGCCCTCAAATCCTCCTCATTCACAACTCTCCTGCTCAGTTCCATATTTGGTAGCCCTTCCTGATCGTTTCACGATAATTCCAACACAAAATTTGTTTCTACATTCATACTATCTTGTGGCTACCGTAATCCTGCGTCATGAACATCCAAATCTTGTCTTGTCTTGTGACATTTTGACACGACACATGGCGTACTGTCCTACGAACATGACATGTGTCGTATTACAAGCGGATCTCTTTGCAAAAAACCCGCCTAAGCTCTGCATGACTTCCTTGGTGCTAATTAATCCCACATTACACATGTTTGACACCCCGAGTACCCCATCCACCTCAAAATTTCGTGGTCCCACATCGACCTTTCCTTCCATTTCCTAAATATCCGCAATTTCGCTACCTGGCAGGTGGTGAGATGTTATCTTTCAACAATCAATCACCCCAAGACAACATATGCAGACGTATCTGATCGCGCGAAGCATGTCACCACAATGTCGTCAGGAAGTCGCGTCACAGCTAAGGTCATCTATCTCACGCAAAAATTCAGAATTTCACCTGAATCTACCTAGAGCGCGCCCAGCTTCTCTCTACCTCTCCCTAGGTGATATTACGCCAGCCTATGATTACCAGTTAGAAACCAACAATTTTGCTAACTACCGTATGCCATAAATTGTCACCCTCGGGGTAAAGAGTGCAACTTCTCTGAAGCTGCGTCGCGTCGGCTTGGCGATGTGAAACAGTTTGTAAACTGGCTCATTGTTTGATCTTTTTTTGGCGATTTGCCAAGTCCAAACTGCTCGCACACACACCTCACTAAGAGGCCATAATGTGCCTCTGTGATGCCCTTTTACGAGGTGAAATGGCCTTGCGCCAGCTACGTTTTACAATCCTCTGTGGGTTCTTGCGTCTTTTGTCTGTTGTGGCTAAGCGTTAAATGTTCAGCTGGTTTGAGTTAGAATTTTATTCGAAATTGCGGTCCGAAGTATACTATATGAGGATTTCCGCGGACTTTGGTAGAATCTCAAGAAAAATCATCAAAACAATTATAAGATGCGCAATATTATATGCAGTATTCGGAGAACAGCATTTTTTACCATAAAATTCATGAAAAAGTCGTACAAACCGTTACTTTAGCTTTCTTTCCATTTTTTTGAACGTATTGAACAGAAGATTTTCTCAAATTTCCCCTGATCAATATCCCCAAGAATTATTAGGGTCCTCCCCGGAAAAAACCATCAAAATGTGATGATGTTGACCGAGTTCTGATAGATAATTACACCATAAAACCCCATTATGACCCGCCATATCATTATGATTTAACTAGCGCTTCCTCATTCCCATCTGGTGGTATCGATATGAGCTGGAATAAAAATTGGGGAACCTGGAATCCTTGGAGGAAGGAAATAAGGGTAGCAAATTTATTGCTTTATGAAGTTATAATCACAAAAGCTCTGAATGTTGACTGTCTCGTTCTCTTATTTTTTTCCGTTTCAATTTTTCTAATTTTTGATTTATGATCTGCCAATTTGGAGATAAGGAAGCCAGACGCTTTGTTGATTTATTACTTGTTACTTTCTAGTTCATGGGTATAAGTCTATGTCTCTAAATTACTACAATATATAACTGAAAGAATATCTTTAAGAAAATATGCATAATGACAAGCACATTCCATGAGAAGCTGGGGCTTCGAGACTCTAAAAGAATTTTTTTGAGGAAAAATTTCAAAATGTAATCTAAATTTTGGCAGAAAGGATAAGGGAACTACCTAGATTTGATAAATGGCTGTGAATGTGATGTGGTTGTGGTTCTCTTTGAGAAACTAAAAATTTTTGGTGTATTTTTGATAATGTCCCTTAATCGAGCATTCAGCGACTTAATTTTCTTCACAAAATTTTCAAAGGTACCATCAAGCAGCACGCATAAAAGCAATTATAACCCTTTAAGGAGAAGTCGACCATTGATAAGTTAATGAAATGATGCCCAAATTTTGTAAAGATGACGAAAACTCATTATGGTCCTTCACTCTTATAATCGCTGTTCATTTCGAAATAAATAAATAGGGTTTTGAGAAAACTGGGAAGAGTATGGAAGGAAATTCTGAAAACAAACCTTAGAATTTCAATAACTCTTAAAATCGTTCATCTCAAGAATTCGGCCATCAACAATCTCTCCCTGGGCTGCTCTCGCATTACCGTATCCGAATTATTATTCTCGACACACTGCAGTATCCCGTGCATGTGTGCTGTCTCGTCGGCACGCGTTGCGATTTTCCGCCCCGTAGAACACCTGCCTCACCTGTCCGCCGCCCCGCCGACCTCGGCTGTGTCGCCGCTTTGGCGCGTCGCGCGCACGCCGCGCGCGGCTACCGTAACCCTCGACGAAGCGGCGTCGGAGAGCTCGCTGCGCAGAGCGCGCGACCTCCAAGCGCCGGCATCCTGACCAATTATCCAACCCTATAACAAAGAACGCTGTAGGACACGCGTGTCCGATGACGGACTGACTGCGCTGACACAGTGAAAACCGAGCGAACGTGCACATGAGACGAGGACGTGAGGTTTGGAGGGGGGGGTGCTAAAAAGAATTTTTTACGAAAATCTGACAAAAGAATGAATGGCGAAGGTTGAAAGGCGCTGTGACAAGCGACAATGACAGCAAGTTGCACACGTGGGGACCGGAATTGCCAGAATCTTTACACAGCCTTAGCTCGAGAAGGGGAGGTTGGCAGTATAGATTGTAGAAAATCAAAATTCTCAAACAGGAATTTTTTCCCTTCTTTGTTAAAAACACAATTTTGCTGTCATGAATCGTAGGTATCCTTGACTATTCTTTTTTCAACTTATCATCGACAGCTCTAAAAGCTACCGTATACCATCTTCAAACTACAGTGATCTGGAAACATAAATAGCAACCCTATAACTTCTTCTTCTTTCACTCTTCAAGCACCTCTTGTGATAGAAATCGTTCTTCCAAAGTCTTTGACTTCTTCAAGCAAAACCTCTTCAGGAGTGGACATTCCAGTTCGGTTCCTCTTCTTCTTCTACTTCTTTCTCTCTTCTCTATTTTCTGCAAAGTTTGCTGAGATACCGTAACTGTCCTTCAAACAAATCACATTCGGTTTTTCCAGGTGAAAATCTGGTTCCAAAACCGTCGTTCAAAGCAGAAGAAGTCGAAAGGTAGCGTGGAACGAACTTCGGATGAAGAAGGCGAGTCAGAAGACCGGGCCGATTCAACTCCACCAGAAGAGGGAACTTCGACGACAACCCAACAGGACTGGCAACATATGACGGGTTTGGCCCCGTCAACGTTGCCATCGGCGGGTTTGCCTCCTACGGGGCTTGGACCGTCATCGCTTCCGCCAACAGTGCTGCCACCGCCACCGCAACAGGCCCAAGTACCGCCAAGCGGATTGATGCCACCACCGTTGAATACCCCGTTGTCCACTTATGACCCCGTCAAGTACTCTTCGGACGAGTTAAAGCCGTTCTATGATCAAACCGCCTATTATCAGCCGTACATTCTACCACACTCAGGGTATAATGGTTACTAGTGACTTTTCTCTAATTTTCATAGTCGTATGCTGCGTCTGGAGTTGCCGGTGCCAGTACCGCGCCAAAGTCGTGCCGTAAGTATGCCAGCGAGTTTGATATATCAACAAGCAATGTGTCTACACTGGCGCGACGCTAGCACTGCGCTGGCACAGTCAACTCTGGACTTAGCCTTAGTTTTCCCTCACCAAGTTTCATGGGCCAAGCTTGCTTTACAATGATTTGAATGAATTCGAATGATCTTCACACATTATGTTGGCTCCTCACTCGTCAACTCTCTATAGTTTTTGGGGCTTGTGAAGCCTAAAAGAGCCGAAAAAACCAAATTTTTACCATCCCTGTGCTTTATTCATTCGTTTTTAACAACATACAATCTCTTCGTCTCCTCAAGTCCCCAAGCAATCTTTTACGGATCTGTGTTCTTTACTCTTTGATGATTTTTTGATGTGAATGATTTTTATTGGTTGCTATCGATTTGTCTCGTTTGTCGAATTTTTCCTTAAGTTATTGATGATTTTTATGATTTGATATGATTTTGAAATTCCTTCAAAAATTATTTTTGGAAAATATGTTTCGCGCGTGTGGCGTTGTGGACCAAGTCTTGCCGCCAGTCTTTGTCTTGTCAGATTTATTGAATGTACATTGATTTATATAAATCTTAATAATAATGGGCCTTCGCAAGGAAAGTTCCAGAAAATTCTCGGAATCGATTCGAGATTTGCACGAGGGACGAACGCGACTCCCGAACCAGTTTTCCCGACCATAACTCAATGGAGTCACGGAATAATTGCCGGGTTGAAGAACGCGAACCCGTCCCGTCTCTCGTTCGCCCCGTCGTCGCCCATCGTCCCGTCCTATAAGTCATCGTTTTTCCACAACACTAACCACAGAACTCAGTACACATATAGACTATGATTACGGTAGCTCCACAAGGGTGGGAGGTGGGGGGGGGGAGGCGAAAAGATGACCCGCGGGGGGCAGCAGCGCCAATGGCGAGCCCCCGCATCTGAAGCGTAGATCCGATCGGACCACTGAGCCTATGGCGATTCTGACGCGTGACAGAGGGCATCGCACCGCACAGGTGGTTCGTTTGTCAAGGGAAATGTGCCGACGAGGTGGTCGCAGCACAGAATGAGGTGCAAGAAGGCCTTTTTTGGGATAACACATAATCTTTCACACCGAGCTTTGGAGAACATAAAAATGCAGATCAGAATAGTATTAATATGTAGTGAATTGATCGCATGTTTTTGGGTTCTCCGTAATGCTCTGATTATTATATTGACGGAGTTACAAGGGCTTTACAGAAGATACTATGTGTATGCATATGATTTACTTCTCTTGAAGTTCACAAAGCATTATTTTTCGAAGAGTTGGTCTTTGGAGGTAAAAGAACTAAAATTTCCATTTCGATTTATGGGATGATCTAAATTGAACATCATCATTCTGTTATAGAATCTCAAATCTGTTTCCAGCATTTCCCATAGCAAAATTGCTTTCAGGTTGAATTTACAAAACATCGATTTTTGAGAGTGAAGAATACCTGGACGCAGACGAGTAGCAGATTATTTCGCAACGGAAGAAGCCATATTTTGATATAATTTGATTTTCAGACGGTGAATGAGTTACATTTCGAAGTCTATCGGGGTGACTTAGAAACGATAAATTCAAGAAATTGAGAGCAAACTTATGGCAACACTCCAATCATCTTAAACTCATAAATCAGCAGAAATAAACTAAACAGTTTATTTCCGCTGATTTCGCTGCTGAACATCTCCCTTTTCTGCTTATTAGATTACAGAGAGTGCTGTCAAAAATCTTTCCGAGAAAAAAATGAGGGATAATGTAAACTGCATTTCTCTCAACTGCATTTCTCTTGTGGTTTTTCATTCCTTTCTTTTGAAAGCTGCTGTCTGTATCAAGTACAGGAAATTGAAGTGCATGTTCAGATATCGCTATTTATGATAGTCATGTGATGGACAAAGCCTAAATTGAAATTGAAAATTGAAATTGAAAATTCTTTGAAACTTAGTCATTAATATTAGGCTGTTCCCCCATTTTTTTAAGAAGTGTACTATAACGCTTTCATTGCTTTGTAAACCAAAACTCATAGGCAAGTATCTTCAGAAAACAGAACTCATTCTATGACAGTCCATATCAACCAAATAGCATCATTTGTATCTGCGAAGCTATTGCTTGAGTTAGGCTATCCATATATTCTGAAGGGTTTTTGCTCACTGTCACTTTCATCAAGTTACCCGAAGGTGCCTTAAATCAATTTCTCTAAAAAAGCATTTAATGTCATTCCTATGCTTTCTAGAGTTAGAAAAAATTTAATCAATCACTACGGGTTTTAAGAGATTAGAGATAGATAGCTTAGAGCTTAAAGGCTTACGGTTTATATAGAAAGTGCTTCACTTACCCTATGACTACTGTGACTGGAAGAGGTTTCTCTTAAGAATTCTAGACTTACAAAATATTGGCTAGTATGGAACAACTGTAAATAAACTATGCAGTTTTCCTTCTATTCTTCCCAACCACTCCATCTCTTTCTCCTCCGACTCAGCACCACTTCGACATGCCATTTTTCAGTCTTCGGCTTCTCTCGCGTCGGGACCGTATGTGATCTTGCCAATTAGCGGCGACACGGGTTGTCGCGAGATTCGATTCACCGTGAATAATTTGTCCTCTGCTCCTCTCGCTGTCTTCTCAATTAAAAAGCTGTGGCTTGGGAACGCGCGAATCTTCATGGGAGAATGCAAAAGAACTTCGTGTCATTACACCGATCGCCCTGACTGAGAACCACACTGCTGATTCGATAAAAAGAAAGGAAAAGAATCGCGGCGAAGAATCCTCGACCTCAAACATATCCTTGAAAAGGTGGTCGCTGGGTAAACCTAGCGTGCAAAGGTAAAAAGTGGAACGAAAATGTCTTTATTAGGAAGATATGGTCTCAGACCCATGTAACGAAACAATAAGCAATACAATCATTCTACTTGTTGAGCTGCTTCATACTCTGCTTGAGCTACAGTGTACCGGTGCAGTTCCTCTCTATCCAAGAGTCCTCGAATCGGTCGGGTAAGAAAGATGTCGATTAGAAGAGCCATAAGGTATGAAATGGTGCTGGCCGAGATTGCCGCATAAATCTGAAATTTGGCAACTTTCCGAAAGATGGAGAGTACAAAAAATCATGTTTCTAAGTCTTGGAATTCATGAGCAAATATACTTATATTGAACATCATTTCTTTGATTTTTTCAGCAAAGTACGAGGAAGTTTCTGAACCATATTTCAAAGTTATTCTTATGAAGGATTTTTGCCAAACCTGACTAAATTTATTTCGGAGGTCATATAACATCATTGAAGATGATTTATTGTTTTTCTAATTATTGGAGCCCATGAATGATTGACTCTTAATTATTGCTCATAATTTGGCTTTTATAATCTGAATTTAATATGTACTTATGTGATTTTTCTGAACCGTGAATACTGAAAGCTCATGTTATTCTTTAGAATGAAATTGAAATCATGTATTTTGCTGACTATTTTCTGAGCTTGATGTCTACTCTTTGAAAACTTACAAAGAACCGGTGGAAGTTTTCAGTTGATTCCCAAAAGCTGAGTATGTCTCTCAATTCTTTAAAAGGATTATATTTTAAAATCTATCATTATTATTTCAAGACGTATAGACGTCACAAGCCATTCATACCATTCCATCTGCTCTACCGCACCGTATACGGTTTAAACTCAAACCAGTCCAGCTGAACCAGATCCATTTCTTAAAGAACCTGTTTTTACCCACACAATGTCTACCACTATGTATGTGTGTGTCCTTTTGCGGATGCTTCTCCGAGTCACTTTGATCCACTTCTGAGTGAGAGCGGTGCAATGAGGCGAATATGAGGTGAATAACGAGCTGACGAACGTCTTCCGAACACATTGACTGACTCTCCAACGCACACATAACAACAGCTAGAGCAAAAAATGTTCTACTCTCACATCGCAATAACAGGGAACTTCAACTCTCAGCGGTAGCAAGATGATGCTCAGCAACACCATCCGCAACAGCAAATGGTGCTATAACATCGTCCGCCAAGTCATGAATACAACATCAGTAAAATGGTCTTATGTAACACCGTCTAACTGATACAGCAGCAACAACGATTTGGTGTTCTGCAACACCATCCGCAGCAGCAAAATGGCGCGGTGGAATACCATCCGCAGCAGCAAAATAGTGCTGCAACACCATCAGCAGCAAAATGATACAGGCAACGCCATCCGCCAAGTGATGAATATAACAGCAGCAGTAAAATGACGCTATGCAACACCATCTGCAACAGCAAAATGGTGCCGTGCAACACCGTCCGCAGCATTAAAACGGTGCAATGCAACACCATCCGCAAGCACTGAATACAACAGCAGCAGCAAAACAGTGCTGTGCACCACCATCCGCCAGGTGGTGAATGAAATGAGTGGTGAAACAAACTCGTGTGCTACGCTGCATATCGGAACAGTAACGAGGGGACCTAGCTCGAAAGGAGAGACCGTGGTGTATTTGATGGACCCAGATGAATATTTATGGAAAGACCCAATACACAGAATTGGACCCAACCAAAATCTCCTTACTTAGTTACAAATGCATCTCTTGTAAAGTGCTTTCCAGATGTTTTGCTGAGACTAACAGATTTTTTCGAAGATGATGCAGTTATGCAGCTGTAAGCATACCTATGAACTATGAACACTATGCAGTTGCAGAAATTGAAATTGAGGGAGCAATCTAGTGACAACTTGGAGGTTAGATTTAATAACAAAAGTTAACTAATTTCAGAAAATAACTGCGATCATGGCTTTCATTGAATAAAAATTATTATTACTCAGAAAATTACTGCAATTATGACGCTCCAATTTCAATAAAGAGAAGAAGATTTCATCTTTTTACAAAGAATTATATCTGTAAATTCGGAGTCAAATTCTTGTTTTAAGCGAATTCCTCTAAACTTCACTAAGTGATATTGAAGCGATAGAGTTCCGACTAATCTAAGGTTGTTGATCAAATTAGTGAAAAGGATGTATTAACATACATTAACTGCGCAAGAGTGAAATTAAGAGGAACAATACCTGCTTTTTGTGTGGTTGAAAGCGTTTGTGACCATTTTGGCAGCAGAATTACTGCTTGCGTCCAATCTTTGCTGTTTGATGTATAATCGAAAAGGACTTCTAAGCTCTTACTTAAATTCCATTTTTCAGCGAACGTGGACTATGATGCCGACAGCACTTGCGTTAAAAAAATTGCTGTAGAACGCATATTTTCCATGTAGTTCTGTACCTCATGATCATTCTGTGTCATTTTTAAAAGAATTTACGTCTGACTGCAACTAAATGGCTAGCCCTAATTTTATCATACTTTACTTGTTTACCTATTACTTTACTTACTCCCACTTCCGCGAAAAATCAGCGTTGTATCTGGTTACCAACTGAGAGCGTTTATAAAGTGCAATCTTCCCAGAAACGATGTTACGATGAAAACGCTGCGGATTTCAAAACTCTTCCTAGAACCACCGTAGTACATTCGCTTCGGCAGAAGCTGAGCGCTAAGGGCGGTGCGTCAATGGCTTGAATAATGAATGAGAGTCGCTTTGGAGGAAGCGCGATCGAGTAGCGTCGATCACGCCTTGTGCGTTGAATCAACACAATCATTTATTCACATCGACGCAATGAGACGAATCGCGGCTTTGCATGAGATTCTTCGCCGAAGGGGAAGGGGGAAAGATTGAGTTTCAACAGAGCACTACCATTTTGCCTTTGAAAAAAAAATGAAATTAACAAGGAATGTGCTAAAAGGGAGCTGGTTGAGCTGGTTCAGTGTGAAGAAATAATGGTCAATAGCATAATTAATTTTTCTTACAATAAGTAAATGATTATCCGCGACACCCAAACATGCTAAGTGGAAAAACTTTGCAAACAGACTCTACGCCCAAACTTTTTCTAGGATGTCCTCAGGCTCAGAAAAAGAAGTGCTGGACAGGACTAGTTTTTCTTCAATATGATATTCATTAAATTGTATGGAAATCCCTAATCGGATGACTCTATTTTTAGATGTATAAGCCGCGGGGAATTTTTTGTGAAATTAACCAGCCCAAACACGTCAAAGGACTTCGCAACCAAAGGACCTAATATTGTGCTGCATATTGCTTGAGAGAATAGTGCGGCTTAAAAATCGCTTTTCAAAACACAGTGAGGCCGCTGAGCAGCTCGCTTAAAAATTCGAAAAAGTGCGGCTTCTACAACTGAAAATAGGGTACTTTGGAAAATAGCGGCAGTTCACATTTGGAAGAATTTCAGATTGACATAGATGCTATTTTTCAAACGATGATTTACGAGACCGCGCATAATTCCGTGGAAGGTAATTTTCCAGTCATTTCATGAACAAAACATAAAAGATAGCTCCGTATCATTAGTTTTAGTAGTATTCAGTTCGGAATTCTACCGTACACTTATCATAGCTCTAGATTTTATGGTGAAGAGCTGCAGTTAGCTCTCAATCTATACTATATTTCTGTTCCATTGAGATCATCGGGAGGCAAATTTCGTATTCGTCCAACATTTCTCACATGAGCAGGCTCAAATAACATTGTAATCAACGTTCTACCCTATTACCGTAGCCTCACATATTATGGTAGCACAGTATTATAGACATGCAGCCTTCTATGCATTCGTTCTGATACACACTTTCTCTCCTCAGAAAAAAGTGTGAAATGGGAGAAAACTTGTGTGATACAAACACGAAATTGCAACATCGAGAATAAAGTGCTTTTCTTCGAAGGAGTATCGAGTGGCCCGCTAGACAAATCCGACTGAAATTTTTATGCTTACCGTACTCCAATTCGTCGCATGCGACGGTCGATTCAACGCCGAAAAGAAGAAAAGTATGATTGGCTCGGCTAAGATTAATGCAATCCATGTAAGTTTCGACAGAGGTGAGAATATTCGCCAAGTGAGTATTGCGTGAATCCATTCTGGAAGAATTACATTACTTCTTGAGTTTACGCTCAAATTGCTATAAAAGTGTTCAAAGCCTTTTCGCAACGGAACCTGTTTGCTAAGGCTGCGTCCAGAGTTGCCCGTGCTAGCGCCGTGCCAGCGGCGTCGATCAAACAATGCGGTGAGCGCCTACTGACACGCGCTAGCGCGCAAACAACACTGAAAGCACTTAGTTCGACAACAGTGGAAGATTATCCTAAGTCCCGAAATGATGATTATTGCTCAAAATTATTACTCGACTAAATTATTCTATTAGGTCGACCTGAAAGTAAGTTTGCCTCTTTCAAATAAGCGCTACATTACGGGAAACAAAAATTTACAAAAGATTGTCGTCATTTAATACAGTTTTCCATGCTTTTTCGGATGGTTATATCTTTACAGCAAAATAGCCAAAAAATTTCTCAGAAACACCAAAACGACCCATGGTTTTTGCCATGGCCAACTGCGATTTTTTTGATTTTTTGTACCGACGCTCCGAAGATGTCCAATAACATGTGAAGTGAGCAAATTCCAGGATGCAAAACAGTTTTTTAACCCTTCCATGGCTTGCACTCAAAATTAGATGACTTTCACAGTGTTTTCGAATTCCAGGTTTGGTGAACTCAAGGCTCATAGAACATCAGCCCGAGAGTGTTTGACGTTTTTGTGTCCAAAGTAGACCTACTAAAACTCGGTTGTTTGAGTATTTTATCAAAAATTTATAGAAAGCTCAAGAGGAAAAAACTGCTATGCATTCTGTTGGATTTGCTCTACTTGACCGTTGTCTGGCTTTCTTCGACCGAGTATGGAAATTTAGAAAAACAACGAAACTTGGCCATGGCAAAAAGTATGGGTTTCAAATTCTGGAGATTATTTAGGAGCTCATTCGTTGCACGCAAAAGAAATATAACTAGTTGAAAAAATAAATAAAAAGCTGCACAGAATGCTCTTGAGATCTTCTATGAATCTTCGATCTGCTATTTGTGGCAGCTGTTGAAAACAAAGGAAAATACTCTCGGAACGACTTGATATATAGAAAAAATCATTCAGCAAAAATTTACCGAATGATCCATGATGTGAAAGATATAGAAACGATAGCAGGGACGTGGCCCACAGCGGTCTGTGGAAAGCTGCGTAGAACGCCAAGAATACTGGGTGTCCAATGGAATACGTAGCGTATGGAAGCAGTGAAAACATAACGAAGAGCCCAGCAAAGGCCGAGAATGACGTCATTATCATGATGAAAAACTGGAAAAATCTCTAAATTTCCGAGAAAAAAGCAAAATAGCTGCTCTACCTTGCTCAGTACATCTTTGCTAATGAGGCCATCCTCATTCCACATACAAATACCAAACAAAAATCCAATCAATGTGGGTGAAGCCCTAGTCAATGGAGATAACACCAAGTTGTTCAGCATAAGCTCAATACGCTCAGGACTGAGATAGCATCTTTAAGGTAATTTTTTTAATTGAAAAATGAAGTAAACAACTTACGCTATAGGCTCAGCTGTAAGCAGCGGTGCTGGAGGAAGATTTCCAAGGAATGCGCGATAAAACGCGAATGAAATGGACAATGACAACAGAACAACAGATAAAACCTAAAATGCGAAAAAAATCAAGAATGAGTAGGTCTAAAGAAAAATGTTAGTTATACATTCCATTAAAGAGAAATGAAACGAGATTCAAATTTTGTACGACAGTATCGTGGAGATTTCAAGATATCAAACAAAACCATTTAAAACCGATTTCAAAGCGCGATGTGATCTAGCCAATTTTTGTGATTATAAATCCTCTGCAGATGAAAATGATTGCCAGCCTTTGCTTTAAGAAATTGATGTTACTTTGCAATTTTTATCGCGATGAATCGTTTCCCTATTCAGATAATAAGGTTTCAATATTTTTTCATCGTAAAAAAACATTTAGTTTCACCGGACAAAAGTGCTCTCGTATAAAGTCACCTTAGCTGTAAATAATCTTGATCGAGCCAGGTGGGTCAAGAAGATAAGTGGAACGAAATACTGTGCTTCCAAAGACACAACATACCCAAAGTCCACGCACTGAAATTTTCACATTTGCAGGTAACTCTGAATCGCGCGTACCGTAACCCTACCGTATCCCTTAGGGTGTACAGATTACTGATGAACAGAAGATTCTTCCACCAACTGCTGGAGCATCTCTCAACCTGAAAAAATGAAATGAGGTTAAGATATTATGGGAAAGCATCAAGGATATAAGGACAGGTAACTTGTTTTTGCATAAAAACTAAGTTAACCAGAACTTTTTTTGGGAGGGAGGGGGGGGGGGGGAGGATGCCGCCACGGCTCAAAGTTTTTGGAATTGAATTACAAATGAAAAAGCGCCTCGGAACTTTAGTTGAAAAGTGCTTTACAAGTATTTTTCTAATTGCATTCCCCTCCCCCCCCCCCCTTCTGAAACATTTTTATGGATTGCCACTGGAAGGGATAATAGTTTGTACGAGAAGCTATTTTAACATCGGTTCAACATATTTATACCACAAATAGGATGAGATGGTTACCGTGTCGCCATGAATCCACATAGGACCGGAGGACAGCTCAGGGAATAGATGCCACATAAACAGAACACAGAATGCATATGCTGGCCAAAATCTGAAACAACGTTTCTGTATTCCAGAAATGAGATCTGCGGAAATTAGTTTACCCATATCGGAAGGGTTTATAAGTAATTATAAAATACCGTATCAAACCCAAAATGTCCGAAAATCCTACCTTACTAGTGCCTTAGCTAGGGTTTGTAGCACATCTTTGATCGTTATAACTTCTCCATAAAGCAAATAAGTTGTGTAGAGCGCAGAAAGCGCTAGAAGACCGTCAACGAGGTAAGAGTAGTTGTTGGTTAGATGAATAGCAAAATAAGGTATGGAATCGTATGAGAAGGCGACATTTTCTAAAATTGGAGAATGAGGTAGATCACATTATTTGATGGATTAATTTGTTTCTACCTATGTATGGTTGCATAAGATTGTAGACCATTCCTGTTATAAACCAAACAAATGTGATAAATTCAAGGCCATGTAAGGCATGCAAGCTCTCTGGTGAACTAAAATTAAGGTTTACAACCACATAAACTCTCACTATTGGTTTTTTGTCCTACCGCTTAGTGGACAGTGCTCTCCTTGCATTTATTCGAATATTGAAGCACATCCATATCAATGATTCTGGGCTGAAGAAGGTCACAGCAATCTGTAGCGCAACCCAGGCGGTTAACGTTGCTCTGAATCAAAATGCATTAAATGCTGTTACAAAAAATCATTTTACCTGGTCCCGATTTGTTCTATAGAATGAAACATTTAATCTTGAATTCAAGTGGCTTGGCGACTGGAAGGCGGGGCTTCGTGACCTACTAAGGCTAGATAATGATGCACGCGCGCGGGAGAGATGCAGAATGCGTCGCGGACGCGAGCGGCGTAAACTAGGTCACAAATTCTGCCTTCCAGCCGCCAATCCAGTTAAATCAAAGGTTACGTGCAAGACATCTGCTATAATTGTAAATGCATCTGGATCTTCCAAAATTTTTGCTCAGTTCCATTTTCAATTGCAAGAAAACTCACATCATGATGAGAGATGGAGTAGAAAAGTGAATGTCTAGCTCGCAATCGATCATCAGTTTGTAAGGCGAATAGTCTGTAAGAAAATTCTTTACTGCAACAAATCGAAAGCTTTGTACATAGACCATTGGTTTGTCTTTGCTAGCCAGGATCTTAGCTTGTAAAAAAAATTCTATTAAAAAGGTAAAATCCCCTCGTAGATTGTTTCAAAATGGGACTGATTGACCCTAACTTTTTCTCAGTGTTTCGGTGGCTATTAAAAATGGAAAGCGGCATATGATAAGCCCAATTTAAAAAAGAACCTTGAATCAATCCGTGAAGCTGTTCATCGGTGCATGATCTCGGCATGCAAGCGCCCAGAACAATTGCAAGAGGATCAGTTTGTGGGCAGCCTTCTTCTACCTAAAATTCGATGTTCAAATATAATTATTCTCAAGCTTATTTTGAAACTTACTAGAGCATCAGGAACTTCCAGCTCTATTCGACAATACTGTCCGTCGAACTTTCCGTCCCTGAAAACAGAACATGCTTATAACGATAAAAATGGAATCATCAGGTCCCTGGAAAAGCATGGAATGTATTGAAGATCGTTCATAATACTAGGAAAATGAGAAAGTTAATTGAAAGACTGACTGACGTTCTGAGTTTTGAGCACAGTTCATAGTCTCCAAGCCAATAGTAGTTCCCATCGCTTACTCCTGCAGCGGGTTTGCCCAAAGAATCCCACCCTAAAATATCAGATATCAAAAATTGGAAAAACTTGACTTCATCTCCCACAAATGACTATAAATTTCTAGACTCACAAGTCATTGCCCATTTGCTTTGCTCCCATTTATGAGCACAACTCGAACACCTTTTTTGGCTTTCTAATTGGCCATTGCATATAAGAGAATCTGAAGGCAAGGGATTAATAAAGCTAACAATAAAAAGCAGAATAAACAGCCAAAAAAGGAAAGAAAAATGTCGAAAACGTAACCTAATGAGTCATCAGTAGCACAGAAAAGCTTTTCAAATCCTTTGCGACACTGCTCCTCAACGTCAAGCTGTCGTGAAAAATTGCCTCAACAATTAGAACTTTTGATTGCTTCTGATAATTTTCAAATCTTTGAGTACTCACAGAATTCTGGCAACGTTTCCAAGTTCAAATCGGGGATTGAAGGCAGTTTGAACTGGTCGAGTGGTCGAGGTCTTGGAGGAACTCGCAGAGGACATAATGAGCAAGCATACGTGGATGCGCATAATAGTATCAAGCGCCACATTGCTATGATTTATCTTAAAAAAACGCATCAAAGAGTTTTTTGGTCCCAGAAAAAATATGCAAAGAGTGTACAATAAATAAAAGTTGTAAAACCAGGATCTTCATGTTTTTTGTTACGTTGGCATGAAGAAAAACCAAAATTGTAGATCATGATACTGAAAACTAACTTACAGTTAGGCTCAAACATAGACAGGATGGGAATTTTTGGGAATAGACTTTGAAAACTTACGTAAGTAGAAACTGCTTTGTTTTGCTTGAATTTTATTAGATTTCTGCTAGCTCTATTTTATCATATATAAATAATTGAAAGTCGATAGAGGTGTTCTTCTAAGAGATGAATAGCATAACAATGCGAATTTCTTTGCAGAAACCAAAATGCACTAACATCTTTTTCTAACAATGCAACATTGACGCCCAAAAAGATTAATGTTCTCAGATAATAAAATATACGAACACTGGCCATCTGATAAGACGGTGATAAATTGTCTAAATTTGATTGAACCATCAAACTTTTCGCGATTTTTTTGTTCTTTGCAAGAATTGATTGTTTCACAAAACTCGAGTACATCAACATTCCCACAAAGTGCAATGCGCGTGTACATGATGAAGAAATAGGTGATTGTTCGAAGAGGAAACAAAAAAGGACATCAGACTGGTAAACACAGCAGCGCACCTGAAGAACTTAGACCAAAAGATCAGTGAGTTTTTCAGTGACACAGAAATTTTTGTACCTAATTTATCGCGCAACCTTCGAACTCAAATGTGAAAAATACGAGAACAGATTTTATTTTTCCAAGTCATTTTATGGCATCAAAACTCCAAAAATTCCTATGAGAATAAAACTTGTAATAGTAGCTCTTCTCTATTCAGACCTTAAAGGCACAAAATCATTTGGAATAAATGAGCGTCGCGTTAGCCAGGCCCTTGAAATTTCCTCTAGGGAACTTTAGATATACTTTTGTAAAATTATGCTTTAAAACAAGATTTGTGTGGACGGGGTCACGCTTTCATGGGTTTCACAAAAGATGAATTTCCTAAATGTGGTAAACTCCACATGTTATAATAGTTACTATCACAGTACTAAAAATCAGGTACTAATCGGCTCGAGCTTTTAGAAGGATTTTTTAAAAAGTAACTTCACCATGCTCCATAAGCCTTTTGCTCTTGAAGATTGGTTGCCTCAAAGTACAAAGTGTAGGACATTACTGCAACCATAGAATGAGACATTAGGGGGTGAAAAACTCATAGAAAAACCGTTGATGATGAGAACTTGTAGCCAAAACATTTTGTCCAATAGGCCATAATTGTCAGAAAGGAGGTCGTTAAACTTATGTAGATACGAAATGAAAACAGTTTTTCCAACAGGAATGTATATTTGAGAGAAAAGTAGAGAACAGTAGCAGGGTACAGAAGTTATCATCCAATGGGAAAACATTGAGATAGGATTAGACAACCGAAAAAACAGTTTAAAAATAGCGGCAAAACGATAGATAGGAGTTGAACTCACTATCAATCAATATCAGCACAAGCTGATAAGATTGGCTGCTGTGTGTGTCGATTGCAAGGGGTGAAGTTCATGAGCTAATGCGGTCAACATAGGGCACGGTGATTTTTTTCCGTGCAGCAATAAAGTTTGTAGCCAGTTTGTCGAGCACGCGAACACAAATCAGAAACTCGTTTTCTGAACACTTGAAATCGCTGCTGCTGTACTTTTCTTGCTGTTCACCATAATGACTATCATTGAAAGGCTTTGGCAAAGGCTCAGTTTTTGTAATGCTACTTCGGTGTTTTAGCTTGCAATGCGTTTCCAATTTACTAATTTGGATTTTCGATTTCTTCCATCCGAAAAATTTTCATTTCACTGTTAATATCCAGAAGGAGCTTTGGAGCAGTGCAGCCAAGAGCTTGTTGAAGGAGTCGGAGGAGTTTGCGAATGGATGGGCGTGGCTAGCCATTCCAACTAGGAAACTTCTTAAAATGGTTTTTCAGATTTTCCACAAGTCTACATTCTCAAACAAGGCTTGGCGAATTAGCATTTTCCACATATTCTTCTAGGAAACTCCAACTTTCAATCTCAGAATCGACGGATGACTGCTGGAATTTTTTTTTGATAATGACTAGCGAATTCTTGGCAGCAAACGTGTCTGCTTGCTCCTCTCTATTTCGTTCATTGCTGAAAGAGAATTTTTTTTGTCATTGTTTTCTCAGCGGTCATAGAAGTCAAGTTTAAGATCTTGTTCCACAAGATATGTTACCAATACGACTGGTTTCTGCTTCAGCAAAGTGCACTGAGAGAAAAAAAGAGAGCTTGAGGTTTGCTTTTCTCTGCTCAGTTTGATTGCCTATTCAGTGCCTTGCTTCTCACCTAAAAAAGGATATGTTACAATTGTTTTGTTATGTCCTACTTGCGCAAGCAGTAATCAGACACAAATATCTTGATAACTGCTTTGCATCCGCGCGCTTCGGAACCACGTTGCGGTTCCCGCTATTTGATGTTTTTCGAATTGGCATTACGAGTCTTTATATTAGGTTTTCCCGAAAGTTTTGTCGGTTTCTTTCATCGCTCACTAAAACCCACAGAACACCAATCCATGGACGATCTGAGTATCATTTATTTCATATTTTTATCCTCTTTCTTCCAGCTATATTTGCTCTTTGATCTACTCTGTCTTTGCGATGTTATCGTCACGGCTTTTCGAGCAGCTTTACACTAATGTCAAATCCTTCCTGTATTTTGGAAGTTTTTACTTTGCTATTTCTAAAAGCGCTGGTAACACTTATGTAGAGCAAACCTTTGGCTACATCGTTTATATTTTGGATTACACGGGGCGCGTTTATCAAGTCCGTAATAATGATTTATTCAAGAAAAACCAAGGCATTTTGATTACGTTTAACACGTAAAAGTACCGAAAACTCCAAAAAGTGATTTTTCAAAGCAGATTAAACTTGGATAGGTTGCATAAATAATGTTTAATAACAAGCAAGTAATTCGCAAAAATTCTAAAAGCTTCCATGTTTTTGCTGCAGTTGCGTTTTTCATGACTTTGCCAAAAATCGAGACCTTGGAAGAAATGATTTTTGAAAGCAAAAAGCAGCAGATTAGGAGAATCTAAAAACATTGCCATGTAGTCCGGGAGTTGCTTTATCTGTTCCATACTTAAGCGTTTCCAAAACTTTGAAATGAAATTTGTGAAAATTAGCCGAACTTTGAGCAGATAAAAATGACGGGTGAAAACTTTTGGCAATTATCAGAAAAAGAGTGCAGGATTATGGCTAGAAAATGTAACCTTAAGAAAGAGAAGGAAAAGCTGCATCGAATGCATGTTGAAACTTATTCAGGTCTTTAGTGCGTGGTTTTATAGTGGTTTGAAAAAACCGACAAAACTTTCGGGACGACCTAATAATTAGAATCAACTGACTTGGCGGCTGGAAGGCGGGGCTTTGTGATCTAATTGAGGCTAGATAATGGTCAGGGAGCACGCGCGCAGGAGAGATGCAGACTGTGTAGCGGACGCGAGCGGCCTCGATTACGTCACAAAGCCCCGCCTTCCAGCCGTCAAGCCAGTTGATTCAAAAGTTATTCAGTATTTCAGTTCTGGGTTGTTGTCATTCGTTTCATTGCTATCTGCCAGAAAATGAGCTCTAATACTGTGAAAAATCAAAAGTTGATAACTTCTTACTTCTTTAAATTGATTTTTGTATTCGAAGAGGGACAGAGTACATTGTTAGTCAGATTGGCAGAACCAGTCTGCCACAGTGCAGCGTAAACATGAAAGGTCAGTCTCCTCCAGGAAACAGGAAATGAACAACTTCCAACTAATACATTGATGTGATCAATGAATGTTCCTGTTCTAAACAGAATTTATATGATTTGTCTATTTTGACGGTGTGATAGTTCTTCTCCTCATAAAATCACTTCAAGGAAAAACACTTTCTATCCTACTAAAGCTGCACGAATCTCGGATGTCACTGCTCTACTTCAAAAAGTTTCTATTATATAAAGACTTACAGACACAATGAAAACACTGAAAATAGTTTTTTAGCACTGAATATGTGAGAAACCAAATGCAACTGTCGGAACGTGGCCATGATGGATGGTAAGATTTCTCAATCAATTATTGTTTCGTTTCCAAACGTACAGGGTTGGGGGAAAGTCTTTGAACACGGTATTTTTAAAGTAATGATGAGGCTAGGCAAGATGATTATATGAAATCAATAGGTAATGTCTACATAACTTTCAGCTACACAAAACTAGCTTTACAATTCAAAGATTCCTTCTGACGCGAGCACAAGCTCGGAAACGCTTGGGAACGCTGTCCATGGTGGCACGGAAGTGCTTTACGTCGATTTCTTCCAACGCCTTCTGAAGAGCAAGTCGCAGGGACTCCACTATCTTGCGTGAGTGAGCGCAGGCTTTGGCCTGAAGAACTGACCAAACGCTGTAGTCGAGGGGATTCAGATTGGGCGAAAACGGAGGCCATTTCGCAAGAGTAGTAAAGACCTTAAAGTTGCTTTGGAACCAAGTTTGAACAACCTTCGCTGTGTGCGCAGGTGCGGTACCTGCTGGAAGCACCAATCTTTCCCTGCAAAATGGATACTGGTCTAGGGCATCAGTCGCTTCTTCAGACTGCTATTCAACTATGTAGCAGCGTCCACCTTGATGCCTTGAGGCGCTAAGATCAGTGGCATCTTGCCGCCGGAAGTGATCGCCACCCAAACCATCAGAAAAGCCAGATGAGGCTTTCCTTTGGCAAGTCGGCCCCTGCTGATGGCTCATCAGAACGATTAGGATGTGATTCTGGTGTTTTGGAGATTGAAAACCCGTTTTACGGTAAATTTTTATCGTCAAAAAAGAGTGCCGTTCTGTGGCGTGCCTTGGATAGACGTTCAAGCAGGCGATGGCATCTGCGCAGTCAGTTCAGCTTTGTGTCTTCCCAAAAAGCATGAAAATTCAGCATGCTGAAAAGCTTTATCGCAAGGCCCTCTTTTACGGTGTCGGAG